GCAGTCGATCCTTCCCTCAGTAGTCCGCCCACAGCATATTGCCATCCATGTCGACCTGAGATGGTGTGAATTTCGAAGTGGATTTCTGGTGGATTCCGAAATGGATTTCGACTCGACGTGGATTCCGAAATGGATTTCGAAATGGGTGTCGAAAGTGGATGACGTGGATTTCGAGGTGGATTCGAAGTGGAAATGTGGGGTTTTGTCCGGCACCCCTCGCGCACTTGACCGCCCTCGCAAATCCATTCGAAATCCACATCGAAATCCATATTGCATTTCACATTGAGAATCCGGCGCCGATTGCCCTGCTCCGCCCTCGGTGCCGGGCGCCCCAAGGAGACCCAGCCTGGCTGGGCGCAACTCTCTGCGGAGGCCGTGCAAGGCCGGCGCGATCTGGCGGCCGTCCCAGGTGAACAAGGGCCACCGCGCCATGCTTTTCGGCGCATCAGCCCGCGCGGCGGCGCATGCCTCTGAATGCAGCGCGATGGTCTGGGGTTGCGAGACTTCCGTCCGTGGTCGAAGCTGTTATCCATGCGCGGGGGCGCCGCTCGCAAGTGGCCGACGGCCACCGCGTGCTGCGTTTTGGCGCTTCCCCACGCGCGGGGGCGAACGCCTCGGAGTGCCAGGCAGGCGTCTGGATGCGTGGGGTATCCTGCGCTTGTCACGATTTCGCAGCAGGCGTGGGGACACCGCTCGAAGGCGAGTCGGGTTTCCCGGAGGTTGCGGGTAATCCAGCTGGTGCACGGCGCATCCATGCCCTTCGCCGCGTGTGGACCGTTTCCATCGCCAGTGGTGCGTCTTCACGCGAGTGGGGCCATTCGTACAACATGCCGCCCGTGGCGGCGACGCGCAATGCCGGGGTGGCGCGCCCGCGCGTGTCCGCGTCATCATGGCGCGCGCAGTCAGACAGACGAGATTTTCCATTTTCCGCGACACAAGAAATATCCTCGCAGTGTTTGCTGAGTCCTGGCAATATGATTGATATTACTGCTGATGTTCTTATTAAACTAGCACATAGTCGTAGTACTGGTAGCAGTAATCGTAGTCGTAGTAGTAGTAGTAGTAGTAGTAGTAGTAGTAGTAGTAGTAGTAGTAGTAGTAGTAGTAGTAGTAGTAGTAGTAGTAGTAGTAGTAGTAGTAGTAGTAGTAGTAGTAGTAGTAGTAGTAGTAGTAGTAGTAGTAGTAGTAGTAGTAGTAGTAGTAGTAGTAGTAGTAGTAGTAGTAGTAGTAGTAGTAGTAGTAGTAGTAGTAGTAGTAGTAGTAGTAGTAGTAGTAGTAGTAGTAGTAGTAGTAGTAGTAGTAGTAGTAGTAGTAGTGTAGTAGTAGTAGTAGTAGTAGTAGTAGTAGTAGTAGTCGTGTAGTAGTAGTAGTAGTAGTCGTAGTAGTAGTAGTAGTAGTAGTCGTAGTAGTAGTAGTAGGTATTAGTAGTAGTAGTTATTACTAGTATCACCACCACTACTACCACTACTACTACTACTACTACTACTACTACTACTACTACTACTACTACCTACTACTACTACTGTACTACTACCACTACTACTACTACTACTACTACTACTACTACTACTACTACGACTACTACGACTACTACTACGACTACGACTACTACTACTACTACTCCTACTACTACTGCTGCTTCTACTACTACTACTGCTACTACTACTACTACTACTACTACTGCTGCTATTGCTACTATTACTAATATTACCACTACTACTACTACTACCACCACTACTAATACTACTACTACTACTACCACCACTACTACTACTACTACTACTACTACTACTACTACTACTACTGTTAGTTTTACGCTACGACGTCGACGATTACTACTACTACTACTACTACTACTACTACGACTACTACTACTACTACTACTACTACTACTACTACTACTACTTTTCATTACTGCTACAACGACTACTTCTACGGTTTTTTTCCACCATTACGACTACTACGACATATTACCACTGCTTGGATCTCATGGGCGCAGGCCAGCTTCAGTAGGTGCAGAGCGCGTGCAAGGATATTAGCGTCATCATCATCATCATCATAATCATCCGTATCATTGCCATCATCGTCAACGTCTTTTTTTTTGCGATCTGCCAGGGAACCGTTTATTATTTCCCCTGGACGTCGAATTTTGTTATCCCCAAAGTATTAGGGCAGGAGGTTATGCTCGCTGTTCGTAAGCACTCAGTGCTGCCGCGCTAGGGCCTCCGAGGCAAGACTACCATGGATATGTGGCGGCTTTGCGCGGATGACCCGCGCGGAACGTACCCATGCGATCGCGCATCCGCTGGGTCGCGCCCAGAGCCGAAAGTCTTAGAACGAGGATCCGTGATCGGACGATGCATGAAATATCACCACGAGGCGTCACGACTGGAGCGCTGGACTTCAATTTTCTCCAGCACGTCTTCGAGCCCGACGGGTCCGCGATGGCCCCAGGGCCCGCAACGAGGCAGAATCACCCGTTGTGAAACAATGCGACGGCCAGACCGGAGGGAAATGGGTGTGCCCGTGGCTCGTCGCTCGAGAACACTGCTCGTCGCTCGTGAGCACCGCGTGCTCCGCGTCTGAGGCACGTCGTGCTTTGTGTTGCAGCGTCGATCCGCGGAGGCCTCGACCCCTTCAGAAGAGGTCTGGCTGTTCGTACTGACGCCCCCGGGGGCCCGGCGAGGGCACCAGGAGGCCGAATACAGCAGTGCACCGTCCGCCGTTTTCCCAACCATCCTGTGGTGTTGGGTCCTCGTTTTGCCCCGCGCTCACGCCTCCCGCTGCCCCCTCCCTCCTTTTCTCATCGTCATCATCAGCATCATCATCATCACCATCATCATCATCAGCAGCATCATCATCATCATCGTCATCGTCAGCATCAGCGTCATCGCCGTCATCATCATCATCATCATCATCATCATCATCATCATCATCATCATCATCATCATAATCATCAGCATCAGCATCAGCATCAGCATCAGCATCGGCATCGTCGTCGCCACCATCATCGTCGTTATCATCACCATCCTCGACACCAATTTCGGAACACCCCTCACACTTTTCGTGGCCCCATAGGGAGCTCCACTGAAGGCCACCGTGGCAGCGCCCGCATGCCGTTCCACCCCCATTTTGGCACACCTCTCACACGCTTCGTGGTCCCATAGGAAGCTCCACCGAAGGCCCCAGCGGCAGCGCCCGCATGCGGTTCCACCCCCATGTCGGCACACCCATCACACGTTTCGTGGCCCCATACGGAGATCCACCGAAGGCCTCAGTGGCAGCATTCGCATGCGGTTCCATCCCCGTCTCTGCATACCCCTCACACGATTCGTGGCCCCATAGGGAGCTGCACCGAAGGCCCCAGTGGCTGCGTTCGCATGCGGTTCCACCCCCATGTCGGCACACCTCTCACGCGCTTCGTGGCCCCATAGGGAGCGCCACCGAAGGCCTCAGTGGTTGCGTTCGCATGCGGTTCCACCCTTCGATTTCGGCACACCCCTCACTTCTTTCGTGGCCACATAGGAAGCTCCGCCGCAGGCCCCAGTGGCTGCGCCCGCATGCGGTTCCACCCCCATTTCGGCGTACTTTTCACACGTTTCGTGGCCCCATAGGGAGCTCCACCGATGGCCCCAGTGGCAGCGCCCGCATGCGGTTCCACCCCCATTTTGGCACACCTCTCACACGCTTCGTGGTCCCATAGGAAGCTCCACCGAAGGCCCCAGCGGCAACGCCCACATGCGGTTCCACCACCCCCATTTCGGCACACCCCTGAGACGATTCGTGACCCCATAGGGAGCTCAACCGAAGGCCACAGTGGCTGCGTTCGCATGCGGTTCCACCCCCATGTCGGCACACCCCTCACGCGTTTCGTGGCCCCATAGGGAGCTCCGCCGAAGGCCCCAGTGGCTGCGTTCGCATGCGGTTCCACCCCCATGTCGGCACACCCCTCTCGCGTTTCGTGGCCCCATAGGGAGCGCCACCGAAGAAGATGTTCACAATAGCGGTACTCACAACTGCATATAGTTGGGTCTTTCGCCAGGATATATGTTTCTGCGTTTCTTGACGCGGGCAGGTTTCTGGGCTCGTCGGGCGTGAGCACCGCGTGGTGCCGTGTGTGGGGACCTCTTCTACGAGGCACTACCATGCATTGGAGCCCTAGACTTCAGTCGGACCCGTCCCTCTACAGAAGGACAATTCAAAAGTAGTGAAATATGGGAACGTGGTTTTGTATTGTTTTTTGTTTGTTGTTTTTGCCACTGTGGAGTATTTTAGGGCTATTTTCATTTTTCGTTCAAAAATCCCCCTGTAAGAGCACCCCACCTAACCTTCACCCCATCTTCCCGCAACATTCCTCGAGCCAGATCGATCTGTCATGGACCCATGGCCCGATGTGCCCGTCGTCAACCACTTGCCTGTGGAACTCGTGCCCCTGGTGAGAACGACAGGCGCCGGGAGCTCGGGGAGGCGGGTGTGTTTGTCGCTCGTGAGCGCCGTGCGCTGTCGCCTTCTTTGGGGGGCACCCTCGACGGCGCGCGCCGATGCATCGCCGACGTCGCCGATGCATCTTGGCATCGCTCGGACGTGTGCATTTTTTCTTCGGCGAGGACCATCGAGGAGCATCCTCGATCATTTGGCGAAAAAACCACGCACGAAGCCGAACGAAGCACAGGGAATGGACGTCCGAGCGATGGCGAGGCATCGCCGATGCGGCGCGATGCTCCGACACCATCTACTCGGACCCCACTTGGGAGGCTCAGAGGCCGGGCGAAGGCTGGCAAACCCGTGGCTGTTGAAACGGAGTTCCGGGACATCGTTGTTGTTTCCTTCCGGGCAGCAGCGTGCTTACTATTTAGTGCGCTGAGCTTTAGTCCGAGAATCTGTTTTCTGTTTTTTTCTTCCGGGAAGACCGTTTAAGCAGCCACGGACTTGCCAGCCCTCGCCCAGGTTCCGAGAGGCCTTCACGTGTGCTTCCGCGCTTTTGGGGCCTCCCCGACGAGGCACCACCACCACCGCGCTCCGCCAGGCCGTGCGGCTGCTCGGCGTGGGCGCGCGCCACGCGGCGGGCAGGCCCGCGCTGCCGCTGCTCGGGGACGAGGAGGGCGGCGGCGGCTCGTGGGTCCCAGCGGACGATCAGGACCTAGACCTCCACCGCTTTGAGAAAATCAAGACGGAGGTTTCTCTCGATCTTCGGCCTCTAGCGACCCTCGCCGGGCCCCGGGACCGTCAAACAACGACTCAGGATGAAGCACCGGTCCTGGGGAATGGGTCGAGACTTCCGGGGACCCCGTATGGAAAAAATCACGACGTCGGACCGCCTCGGCCCGCGCGAGGAGTGTCGAGTCGCCTCGGGCCCAGAGCTTTCGGGCGCTTTCGTCGGTGCGCTTTCTGTCTGCGAGGGGTGCTCGTTGCAGTTTGCCCAGGCAGTCGTCCGTGTCGTTGCGCAGTCTTCGGTTCCGTCCCCCTTCATGAGGCGTGCGGCTCTTCGAGTCGCCCGGCTGGGCTCTCCTCTGCCTCGTCGGTGCGCGGCGGTCTTCCGGCCTCGGGGAGCTCTCCAGCAGCTGCGCCTCGCCGAGGGCGTGCCGGGGATGCCGCCTCGTCCCGAACGGCCGCCGGAGGCCCAGGTTCTCAGCACCCGAAAACGAAGGGGGCCTCCTCGGCGGGTCGATCGAGGGCGAAACCTCGATGGGCGAGGGTCGATCGAGGGTCGATCGAGGGTCGATGGGCTCGAGGGCGAAACCACGATCGTCGAGGGTCGATGGAGGGTCGAAGGGTAACAATTGATACTCGAGGGCTGGTCGAGGGTCGACGGGTCGAGGATCGTCGATATTTATAAGTCGGGCATGTCCCTCTACAGGGGGAATCTGCAAAAATGGTATAAAAAAAGAGTCAGTGGACGATTTTTGTCCGTATTTGTTTGGGTCTTTTTGCATCTTCTGGTGTATTTTTGATTTGTCGTCCAAAATCCGCCTGTACGGGGACATGCCCGACCTAACAATGTTTAGATCTGCACCCTCGATTTCGGGGGTCCTGGCGGACGACGAGGGCCTCAGCCCAAAGCCGTGCGGAGACGGACCTTGCGGTGAGGTCGTTGGGGATTCGAGGTCACCGCCCGGTCCGTCATCGTACGGTGGTGGGGCCCCGAGTAAAAATTGGGGACGGGGAGACCGCAGAGGAGCAAGGCGTAATGATTCTTATGCTCGAGGCCTCCCAGATGGGGTCGGAGGATCGCGTCGCATCGCCGATGCATCGACGAGGCGGCTCGATGTGGAGCCCAATTTTCTCCACGCCGACGTCGCCGCTGCGTCGCCGATGCGTCGCCGATGCATCGCCGATGCACTGGCGATGCTGCGCGATCCTCCGACCCGATCTGCTTGGACCCCATCTTGGAGCCCTCAAGATGCGCTCCAAGATTTCTCCGAAATGTTGAAACCTTTCGATGTTCCACACGTGGGCCAGTCGCTTCATGACATCGACAGGGGGGCGGATTGGGATATTAATCGATTCGGACGTTCCCATCAGTTCGAGGCGGTTTATCAGCCTCGGGATGCTCTCCAACAGCTGTGCCTCGCCGAAGGCGTTCAGGGCCGCCAGAGGCGTCGTTTGAGGCGGGAGGTCAGGAGTCATCGGCGCGCCCGAAAACGGGGACGGAAAGAATGGTGACGAGGATCAGCAGCCTAGATATTTGGTGCTCAATCCTGGCGTTCTTATTCGATGTCGGTCCTCGGGTGCCAGTTTCCAGGCTTACTCTAGGCCTCCTAGATGGGGTCGGAGTAAGTAGATGGGGTCGGAGGATCGCGCCGCATCGCCGATGCATCGGCGATGCATCGGCGATGCGGCTAGCTGTGGGGCTCGATTTTCTCCACGGCAACGTCACCGATGCATCGCTGACGTCGCCAGTGCATGGCCGATGCATCGCTGGTGCATTAGCGATGCATCGTCGATGTGTCGGCGATGCGGTCAGATCCTCCGACCCTATCTACTCGGACCCCATCCAGGAGGCCTCGTACTCACGGGCGTCCAGAGTTCCCCAGCTGCTCATGGAACAGCAAAACATCTTCGGATGCTTGGGAGGAGCATATCTGGTCCACCCTGCACGGGGCTCGCTGTCGGTGGCGCCGCGAGCACTGTCCATTTGGGAAAGACATCGGGGAAGACAATCTGCATTAACATCAAATCGGGCCTGTCCCATTACAGGAGAATATTCAAATGTAGTCAAAACATAGTCTGGGACCATTTGGGGAGTATTTGTTGACCGTTTGGGAGTATTTTTTATTATTTCAATATGTCCCGATAGAAGAAATCCGCGCGAAGCACCGACAGTTTGTGATTATACAGTTGTTTCTTCCCAGAGAGTCGCCTTCCCAACAGTGAACGCTGGAGGTTTTGGGCGGCGTCCGTGGTTGGCCTCCATGCTCACTTTTGTCCCACACCCATCCCAGAGCTCGGATGCCTGATTACGTCGGACATCTTCTTGTGCTGGCTGTTTGTTATGTTTCTCGTTATCTCCATCCCTATCTCACTCTCTCCATCCGTCTGTCTCTCTCTCTCTCTCTCTTTGTAGTATGTTTGTGTTGCTAGTTGTTGTGTATGTCTCTCTCTCTCTCTCTTTCTCTTTCTTTCTCCCCAGACCTCGGGGATCGCGGGTCGTTGATTCTCCTGGGTTGTCGATCGCTCCTCGCTGGCTCCTGGTGGCCGAATCGCCTCGGGACGCCTTCCAGCGGCAGCGCCTCGCCCGGAGCGCTCCCCCGGGGGTCCCCGGGTCGTCCCGAGCGGTCGTCGGAGGCCTGGGCCGGGGCTCGAGAACACGCGGGCCCGTGCCCCCCCTCGCGGCGAGGAAGAAGAGGGGGAGGAGGAGGAGGAGGAGGAGGAGGAGGAGGAGGAGGAGGGAGGAGGAGGAGAGGAGGAGGAGGAGGAGGAGGGAGGAGGAGGAGGAGCGGGAGGAGGGAGGGGAGGGAGGAGGAGGAGGAGGAGGAGAGGAGGAGGAGGAGAGGAGGGAGGGGGAGGAAGAGGAGGGGGAGGAGGAGGGGAGAGGAGGAGGAGGAGGAGGAGGAGGAGGAGACGGGGAGGAGGAGGACGGGGAGGAGGAGGAGGAGGAGGAGGAGGAGGAGGAGGAGGAGGAGGAGGAGGAGGAAGAGCGCGATTTCGTGGGCTGTTTTCGTTTCGGTTTCGCTCCTGCAGCAATGGCGGATGGAAGACACAGCGAGGGGTGTGAGCCGCGGAACGTGTGAGGGGTGTGCCGACGTGGGTGAGGCGGACGCATGCGGGCGGTGGCTGGGACCTCCAGTGGAGCTCCCGATGGGGCCACGAAACGTATGAGTGGTTTGCCGAAATGGGTGTGCGTGACGCATGCGGTCGGCGGCACTGTGTCATTCGGTGGAGCTCGCAATAAGGCAACGAAGCGTCACAAAACGTGTGAGGGGTGTGCCGAAATGAGTGTGGCGGACGCCCGCGGTCGTTCCCAGTGGGACCTTCTGTGGAGCTCCTTATGGGGCAAAGACGTGTGAGTTGTGTGCCGAGATGGGCGTGCGTGACGCATGCGGGCTGCGCCTATGGGGCCTTCGGTGGAGCTCCCTATGGCGCCAAGAAGCGTGTGAGGGGTGTGCCAGAATGTGTGTGGGTAGCGCATGCGGGTTGCGCAACTGGGACCTTCGGTGGAGCTCCCTATGAGGCCACGAAACGTGTGAGGGGTGTGCCGAAATGGGTGTGCGTGACGCATGCGGGCTGCGCCACAGGGACCTCCGGAGGAGCTCCCTATGGGGCCACGAAACGGGTGAGGGGTGTGCCGAAATGGGTGTGCGTGACGCATGCGGGCTGTGCCAGTGGCACCTTCGGCGCAGCTCCCTTTCGGGCCACGAAACGTGTGAGGGGTGTGTCGAAATGGGTGTGCGTGACGCATGCGGGACCTTCGGTGGAGCTCCCTATGGGGCCACGAAACGTGTGAGGGGTGTGCCCAAGTGTGTGTGTGTGTGTGTGTGTGTCTGTGTGTGTGTGTGTGTGCCTGTGTGTCTGCGTGTCTGTGTGTCTGTGTGTCTCTGTGTGTGTGCGTGACGCATGTGGGCTGCGCCACTGGGGCCTGCGGTGGAGCTCCCTGTGGGGCCACGAAACGTTTGAGGGGTGTGCCGAAATGGGTGTGCGTGACGCATGCGGGTTGCGCCACTGGGGCCTTCGGTGGAGCTCCTTATGGCGCCAAGAAGCGTGTGAGGGGCGTGCCAAAATGTGTGTGCGTGACGCATGCGGGCTGCGCCTCTGGGGCCTTCGGTGAAGCTCCCTATGGCGCCAAGAAGCGTGTGAGGGGTGTGCCAAAATGTGTGTGTGTGTGTGTGTGTGTGTGTGTGGGTGTGTGTGACGCATGCGGGCTGCGCCACTGGGACCTTCGGTGGAGCTCCCTATGGGGCCACGAAACGTGTGAGGGGTGTGCCGAAATGGGTGTGCGTGACGCATGCGGGCTGCGTCACAGGGACCTCGGGTGGAGCTCCCTATGGGGCCACGAAACGTGTGAGGGGTGCCCCAAAATGTATGTGCGTGACGCATGCGGGCTGCGCCACTGGGATCTTCGGTGGAGCTCCCAATGGGGCCACGAAACGGGTGAGGGGTGTGCTGCGCCACTGGGACCTTCGGTGGAGCTCCCTAGGGGGGCCACGAAACGGGTGAGGGGTGTGCCGAAATGGGTGTGCGTGACGCATGCGGGCTGCGCCATTGGGGCCTTCGGTGGAACTCCCTATGGGGCCACGAAACGCTGTACTGGTGAAACGCGCGGAGGAGGGGGGAGGGGGAGGAGGGAGTGGGCAGCGGGAGAAAGGAGACGCGGGGCGATGTCTCTTCAAAGCGAGGACCCAACACCACAGGATGGTTGGGAACAAAACGAACACGAAAAACACTGTCTAAAGTCGACCCCTCCCTCGCGGCATGACCAACTCACGAACGCGTTTCCGCAGCCTTCCGCTTCCGACGAGGTCCCTCCTAGGCCCCAGAGGGCGGTCGGAAAAATCGCCCCGGGACGGGCACGGCCTGCTTGGCACGACTTCGGACGAAGAGCCCCCCAGGCTGGTCGTTTGGCCGACTTGGCCTCGGGGCTCAAGAGACCGGGGTTCAATGCAAACGGGGATCAGTCAGAGCGCCGGATCTTGCAGGATCTTGCAGAGCTAAGGGCGCACTGACCCAGGTTTGGATCTTGCAAGGCCTGCCTGACCCGGATTTGGATTGACCCGGGTCAGTAAATCCCCGATGGCCGACTGGCCGACTCCCCGACTCCCCGACTGGCCGACTGGCCGATTGCCCGCCTGGCCGACTCCCGGACGGGCCGACCGGCCGACTGTGGAGTCAGGAAGTGCTTTACGGTGCCTCAAGAGTGTTCCCGTTCTTCTGGAAGACGAGCCCGCCGGAAGATTTTTCCACGAGCCCACGTGGTTAGCAAGAAGAGACACGGCGTCGGGGGTCGACTGCGGGCGGCGTATGAAGACTGGGTCGCCTACACGGACCTGCTCAGGGGCAGCGTTGTGGTGTGATGGGCTCAGGGGGGGATGCATCGACCCTCAATCGGCCATTCGTCGCCGGTAGGGGCCCGACAGCCCACCCTCGAAGAAGGAACAATTGCATAAACATGTTTGTGCTTGCGTTCCGCGCGGATGCGAAGGTCGCCATGGCATCGTGCGTAAGACCTTGTGCTTCTTCGAGCGCTCGTTGTACACCTGCACCGATCTTGGCCAGGCCGACCCTGGGCCCAGGGTCGATGCACCTAGGCATTCGGCGGCTCGGCGGACATCGCACTTTGAAGGACTAGAGGCGAGAGTTCTCTCTGCGCCTTCGGATGTCTGGAAGCTGGATCCTTTGGGCCCAGTGGAGGGCCCGCCCCCGGGGAAGAGGACGACAGGTCTACAGGGGGTCTGGGTCCCGAGCAACTCCAGGCGCCGGATGTCTGCGCCTTCCTCTGCAGGACCACCAAGAAGGGGACGTCGAGGTGGTCAAACGCCTCGCAGGTTAAGCCTCGCGTACGCGCCTGCGCTGGTGAACCCCCGAGGCTGAAAATCGACGGGCTGCAAGGGTGGGCTTCTCCTGGGCTGCCTGTGTGTCAGGATGCAACTTCTGGGAGGTTAAAAATCCATCCTCGGCGCTGATCCGAGGTCGGAAACAAGCCCAATCTGGCAGCATCACTGTTAATTCCCGCTGTGTCCATCTTAATATTGATCCTGGATTTCATCCGGCCCGGTCCAGCCAGGGTGTTAATCCTTTGTAATTCGTGCGAAGAGCTCCCACGAGTTGCTTCCTGCATGTACGCTTCGCTGCCAGGAGGAGATCTGCGCCCGTCGATAACTAGCCGACCGAGGAAGAAACAACGGCCCGAACAGAAGCCTTCGGAAGAGGAGAGGGGTCTAGCGCCGATCCCAGACATCCGCGCGGACCTCCGAAAGCTTCTGGTTACGACATGGCGTCTTCCACGACCCGGCTGCGCGTGGCCCCGAGTCGGCCTATACGGAACTCCGCCAGTTGCCCAGGATCGGCCTACCTGGAACGATCGAGCGATCGAAAAGTCGCCGATCGTTCAAGGTTGAGCGATCCGTGCGGTGTCAGACACCAACGCTGGGGTCGTCACGACACGACAAGAACCTGCCGAAGGGTGGGCCCAGCTAGGACCGGCGCGGGCGCCGCACAGCTTCTGGGCGCCCCCCTCCTCAGGGCTGGCTTTCCGCCGTGCGCTATGATGTTCCAACCCACTCTAGCCTTGATCACCAGAAAGAATTTCGAGCACTAGGAAAGTGCCCAAACTGGAGGGTTCTCACGTGTCGGGCCCTGGGAGGCGATACTCGTTCGACACTGTTTCGACACATCTCTGGGTGCTCGAAATTATTTCTGGGATGTGGTCCTTAAGCACGATGGAGGCAACATAAGCCATCCGTCGTTTTACAGCGGTCCGGGGACCAGCCCGGCGAGGGCCTCCAGAGGCCGAGAGCGGCAACTACACATGTCTTTGATGCTTGTTCCATGCTTTGGAGATCTGCGTGCGCCCTTTTCGTGGGACGCCTTTTACCTAACAGCGAAGACTGATGGGTTTCTAGTAGTGTCAATAGAGAGCATCTTGACTCCCCAGGGGGGTCTGGGCGGGTGCCGGGGAGAACCCGCGGAAGTCGTTTTAAGCAAACAGTTACACACTTCGTGGTCTTCGAGGTCCCAGAACTCCATTCCTGGGCATGATTTTGAATGCCCGGAGCCAACTGAAGGCCACTTCGTGGTCTTCGAATTCCCAGAACTCCATTCCTGGGCATGATTTTGAATGCCCGGAGCCAACTGTAGGCCGCTTCGTGGTCTTCGAGTTCCTAGAATTCCATTCCTGGGCATGATTTTGAATGCCCGGAGCCAACTGTAGGCCACTTCGTGCTTTTCGAGTTCCCAGAACTCCATTCTTGGGCATGATTTTGAATGCCCGGAGCCAACTGTAGGCCACTTCGTGTTCTTCGAGTTCCCAGAACTCCATTCCCGGGCCACATTTTGAATGCTGAGGCAGGCTGATGGGCTGAGGCTGAGGCTGAGGCTGATGCAGCTGAGGCTGAGGCAGGCCTGAGGCTGAGGCCGAGGCTGAAGGCAGACTGAGGCTGAGGCTGAAGCAGGCTGAGGCTGAGGCTGAGGCAGGCTGAGGCTGAGGCAGGCTGAGGCTGAGGCAGGCTGAGGCTGAGGCTGAGGCTGAAGGCAGACTGAGGTGAGGCTTAAGCAGGCTGAGCTGAGAGGCTGATGAGGCAGGCTGGGCCTGAGGCCTAGGCAGGCTGAGCTGAGCCTGCTGGAGGCCGAGGCTGAAGGCAGATTGAGGCTGAGGCTGAATCAGGCTGAGGCTGAGGCCGAGGCCGAGGCTGAAGGCAGACTGAGGCTGAGGCTGAAGCAGGCTGAGGCTGAGGCTGAGGCAGGCTGAGGCTGAGGCAGGCTGAGGCTGAGGCCGAGGCTGAAGGCAGACTGAGGCTGAGGCTGAAGCAGGCTGAGGCTGAGGCTGAGGCAGGCTGAGGCTTAGGCTGAGGCAGGCTGATGCTGAGGCAGGCTGAGGCTGAGGCTGAGGCTGATGCAGGCTGAGGCTGAGGCAGGCTGAGGCTGAGGCCGATGCTGAAGGCAGACTGAGGCTGAGGCTGAAGCAGGCTGAGGCTGAGGCTGAGGCAGGCTGAGGCTGAGGCTGAGGCAGGCTGATGCTGAGGCAGGCTGAGGCTGAGGCTGAGGCTGATGCAGGCTGAGGCTGAGGCAGGCTGAGGCTGAGGCCGAGGCTGAAGGCAGACTGAGGCTGAGGATGAAGCAGGCTGAGGCTGAGGCTGAGGCTGAGGCAGGCTGAGGCTGAGGCTGAGGCAGGCTGATGCTGGCAGGCTGAGGCTGAGGCTGAGGCTGATGCAGGCTGAGGCTGAGGCAGGCTGAGGCTGAGGCCGAGGCTGAAGGCAGACTGAGGCTGAGGCTGAGGCAGGCTGAGGCTGAGGCTGAGGCTGAGGCAGGCTGATGCTGAGGCAGGCTGAGGCTGAGGCTGAGGCTGATACAGGCTGAGGCTGAGGCAGGCTGAGGCTGAGGCCGAGGCTGAAGGCAGAGTGAGGCTGAGGCTGAAGCAGGCTGAGGCTGAGGCTGAGGCTGAGGCAGGCTGAGGCTGAGGCTGAGGCAGGCTGATGCTGAGGCAGGCTGAGGCTGAGCCTGAGGCTGATGCAGGCTGAGGCTGAGGCAGGCTGAGGCTGAGGCCGAGGCTGAAGGCAGACTGAGGCTGAGGCTGAAGCAGGCTGAGGCTGAGGCTGAGGCAGGCTGAGGCTGAGGCTGAGGCAGGCTGAGGCTGAGGCTGAGGCTGAAGATGAAGCAGGCTGAGGCTGAGGCAGGCTGAGGCTGAGGCTGAGGCAGGCTGATGCTGAGGCAGGCTGAGGCTGAGGCTGAGGCTGATGCAGGCTGAGGCTGAGGCAGGCTGAGGCTGAGGCCGAGGCTGAGGCCGAGGCTGAGGCAGGCTGAGGCTGAGGCTGAAGCAGGCCGAGGCTGAGGCAGGCTGATGCTGAGGCAGGCTGAGGCTGAGGCTGTGACTGCGACTGCCGTTGCCACTGCGACTGTCATCGCGAATGCGCCTGCGACTGCGAGAACAGCAGAATTCTACAACTGGATTCTCATCTGAATCTGAAGGGGAATGCTTCCAGATATGCTCCTACACATCGCTGTTAGGTTGCTTTGCCGGGATAATTTTGTTTCGCAGCGTGGACCCCCTGGTCGTCCCATTCCCCAGGACCGGCTTTTCATCATCCTCTGCAGTGTTTTGACGGTCCCGGGGCCTGGCGAGGGCCCCCGGAGCCCAAAAACAGACATAATCGTTATGTCACGAGTTTTTCATGACCCGAGGGGGTCTGGGGATGGGCGCGGCCAGGACCGTCGCTTGGGCGAACAGCTCATAGGCTCGGACGAGGCTAGGACAAGGATAAGTTCCGGAACGCTCTCAGAACGCTCCCGAACGCTCTGAGAAGGCCGCGGCGCCCGAGGCATCTTCAAGAGCCGCCACACCTCAGAGATTCTCGATGTATCCTTGCCCGAATAGCTCCTCGTCGTGGCTTCGTCGTCTGGGCGCGCCCCCCGAGGACGTCGTCCACGACGCCTGGGCGGACCTGCAGCAGCTGGCGCCCTGCGGCGGGCCAGCCGTGGACGAGTACCTCGAGGCCAGCTTCGGGCGAATGGGTCGTTTTGTGGGAAGGGGGTTTCAAAAATGCCATACAGTGGGGGCCCATGCCAAGAAACACCCTGCTTGCCTCCAGGGTGCCCTTGGTTTCTTGGGTTTCGATGGTTCTGCTGTGGAAGGCGTGACGCTCTCACACCAAAAATCAATGGACGTCCTGGGGTCTCAGGTTGGGTTTCTTGTGGGAGGTTTCTTGTGGACTGGCCTCCACTGTAGCTCTCGCAGTCGTTCGTTCTGGATCGTTATGGCTGCGGGCAGACTGCTTTGCACTTGGCATCCCTTGGTCCGTGAGAAGCCTTGCGACCCGAGCCACAGGATGAACCACTGCGTTTCAGGACTGGACCTGAAAGGTGTTCTGGCCATCTCGTGAGCAGTGCTTTGTTCCCAACCCTCCTATGGTTGGGTACTCGTTTTGAAGAGAGCAGTGTGGTCCTCCTCCTCCTCCTCCTCCTCCTCCTCCTCCTCCTCCTCCCCTCTCCTTCCCTCGTCCTTCTCTCAAGTTTCCTGTGTTCCCTTCTCCTCTTCTCTCGTGCCGTTTGCGATCTGCGCAACTGTCGCCACTTTCGTGGGCTCCTGGGAGGCCCAGCGGGGGTACGTCCCACGCGGACCACCTCGGGAGCTCGCCGCCCCCTGGGGGGCTTGCGATTTGCGAAACCGCTGCCATTTTCGTGGGCTCCTGGGAGGCCGGGCGGAGGTACGTCCCACGCGGACCACCTCGGGACCTCGCCGCCCCCTGGGGGGCTTTCGATCTGTGCAATTGTCGCCACTTTCGTGGGCTCCTGGGAGGCTCAGCGGAGGTGCGTCCCACGCGGACCACCTCGGGACCTCGCCGCCCCCTGGGGGGCTTACGATTTGCGCAACCGTCGCCACTGTCGTGGGCTCCTGGGAGGCCCAGCGGAGGTACGTCCCACGCGGACCACCTCGGGACCTCGCGGCCCCCTTGGGGGGCTTTTGCGATCTGCGCAGCTGTCCGCATGTTTCACGTGGGCTCCTGGGAGTTTCATCAGGAGGTACGTCCCACGCGGACCATCTCGGACTTTCGGGGCCGCCCCCTGGTGGCTTGCGATCTGCGCAATTGCCGCCACTTTTAGTGGGGCTCCTTCCTTGGAGACCCACCCAGCGAAGGTACGTCCCACGCGGACCACCTCGAGACCTCGCCGCCCCCTGGGGGGCTTGCGATCTGCGCATGTGTCGCCACTTTCGTGGGCTCCTGGGAGGCCCAGCCGAGGCACGTCCCACGCGGACCACCTCGGGACCTCGCCGCTCCCTGGGGGGCTTGCGATCTGCGCAACTGTCGCCATTTTCGTGGGCTCCTGGGAGGTTCAGCGGAGGTACGTCCCACGCGGACCACCTCGGGACCTCAACGCCCCCTGCGGGGCTTGCGATCTGCGCAACTGTCGCCACTGTCGTGGGCCCCTGGGAGGCCCAGCGGAGGTACGTCCCACGCGGATCACTTCGGGACCTCGCGGTGCCTTGCTGGTTGCGATCTGCGCAATTGTCGCCACTTTCGTTGGCTCCTGGGATGCCCAGCGGAGGCACGTCCCACGCGGATCACCTCGGGACCTCGCGGTGCCTTGGGGGCTGCGATCTGCGCAACCGTCGCCATTTTCGCGGTCTCTTGGGAGGCCCAGTGGAGGTACGTCCCACGCGGATCACCTCGGGACGTCGCGGTGCCTTGGGGGGCTTGCAATCGGCGCAATTGTCGCCAGTTTCGTGGGCTCCTGGGAGGCCCAGCAGAGGTACGTCCCACGCGGACCACCTCGGGACCTCGCGGTGCCCTAGAGGCTGCGATCTGCGCAATTGTTGCCGCTTTCGTGGGCTCCTGGGAGGCCCCGTGGAGGTACGTCCCACGCGGATCACCTCCGTATCTCGCGGTGCCCTGAGGGCTGCGATTTGCGCAATTGTCTCCATTTTCGTGGGCTCCTGGGAGGCCCAGCGGAGGTGAGTCCCACGCGGATCGCCTCGGGACCTCGCGGTGTTTTGGGGGCTTGCGATCTGCGCAATTGTCGCTGCTTTCGTGGGCTCCTGGGAGGCCCAGCGGAGGTGGGTCCTTCGCGGATCACCTCGAGACCTCGCGGTGCCTTGGAGGCTGCCTGCGCAATTGTCGCCATGTTCGTGGGTTCCTGGGAGGCCCAGCGGAGGTGAGTCCCACGCGGATCGCCTCGGGACTTCGCCGCTTTCTGCGCAATTGTCGCCATTTTCGTGGGCTCCTGGGAGGTTCAGCGGAGGTACGTCCCACGCGGACCACCTCGGGACCTCAACGCCCCCTGGGGGGCTTGCGATCTGCGCAACCGTCGCCACTGTCGTGGGCTCCTGGGAGGCCCAGCGGAGGTGGGTCCCACGCGGATCACCTCGGGACCTCGCCGCCCCCTGGGGGTCTTGCGATCTGCGCAACTGTCGCCACTTTCGTGGGCTCCTGGGAGGCCCGGCGGAGGTGAGTCCCACGCGGATCACCTCGGGACCTCGTCGCCCCATGGGGGGCTTGCGATTTTCGCAACTGCTGCCGCTTTCGTGGACTCCTGGGAGGCCCAGCGGAGGTGGGTCCCACGCGGATCACCTCGGGACCTCGCCGCCCCCTGGGGGGCTTGCGATCTGCGCAATTGTCGCCATTTTCGTGGGCTCCCTGGAGGCCCAGCGGAGGTACGTCCTACGTGGATCATTCGGAGGTACGTTATACGCGTTTCTTTCAACGCCTCCATGTTTCCATTTTGTATAGTTGCCGTTCCTCTTCTTGCTGCGCTCTTCTGAAATCACTGTTGGGTGTTCTTCTTCCGCACTGCGGGTCCTTCAGAATGCCAGTCAACATTGAATGGTCCTGAGTATAATCGCCACGTGTCTAGAAAGGGTTGGGTACGTCACAGGGTATTTGTTTGTTTTGTGTGTTGCATTCGAGCCTAAGCGAAGGCGAAACGAGGAAGAATGAACAACACAACGAAAACGAAAAACACCGTTTAGGTTCAGCCCTGCCTGATCATCCGAGTAGGGGAGGAGGAGGAGGAGGAGGAGGAGGAGGAGGAGGAGGAAGGAGGAGGAGAAGGGAGGGAGGAGGAGGAATGAGGAGGAAGAGGAGGAGGAGGAGGAGGAGGAGGAGGAGGAGGAGGAGGAGGAGGAGGAGGAGGAGAAGAAGACACCCTTACGGAATATCCCCTTTGCCCAGAGCCCACGAGGGCCTGCCCGCCCCGCGCGCCCTCGAGATGGAGGGCGGCGCCAACGCCGTGCGCCTGCTCCGGCGGTCCTCCTTCGGCGGGAACCTCGGGCTGCCGGGGGCAGACCGAAGCAGACGCGAGTCAAGCGTGCCCCTCTAGAGGAGGAGTCCGGGCCCCCCCAAGCGGGGTGGTGACCACACCGCGCGGTGGTTCGGGTCACCGCACGATTTTGGGACTCGAGGCCCTCTCCTCTGGACGCCCGAAATGGGCACCGAAAGAATGGGTACAATGCCCAACAGCAGTTCCTGTTCATTTTGAACAGGCCTCGCTGTCCACGCCGCCGCGGCCTGTGTCCATTCGAGACAGGAGGCCGCCTGCCCAACAGCGGCCGCTGCTGGTTTGGGACAACATTTGTTGTTGGGCATCGTACCCATTTTTTCGGTACCCATGTCGGGCGTCCAAATCTCCGAGGACGTCTCGGACGACAGGGGCTTCCGGGGTCCCAAGGCCGTGCGGTGACGGAGCCGTAGCCATTTTGGCTCAAGTTCGAAACGTTGCCCCGACGCTTCGAGCTTGGACGCTGCCAAGGGGTTGGCCCGAGCGTCCCGAGGTTAGGCATCGCAATCTTTTCCAGTCGTGCGCCAAAGCACGTGGTGTTCTAGTGCATTCACAGTTTCATTTGACGCACCATGTTGCTGCGTCGCAGCTGCTCCGCCGTGATGAGCCCGCGGGTGAGGAAGGCGGCTGCCAAGGCTGCGAGGGAGGAGCGTGAGCAGCGTAGCCAGAGCCGCTACGCGAGGCGTCAACGCGCGAGCTCCGTCTCACGTTCGACGTCAGCCAGTTCGGACAGGTCGTGGAGTCGGAGCCGAGGCGGACGCTCTGGCGATAGCACAAACGAGGTTAGCCGTGGGCACCGTGGCTCCAGCTATGACATGCAGAAAAAATTGCCGCCTGTCTGGGTCAAGGACCTCATGACGGAGGTAAGGAGTATGAACACCAATATCGAGCGCATCGAACAGTCGATGGCGCAGGAGGTGCAGGAGTTTCGCGGTGCTCTTCAGATCCACGACCAGAATTTGGCGCAGGTACAACAACGTCTCCTGGTGGTCGAGCAAGGATCCACGGCTGCCATCGCTACAGCAGTGGCGGCAGCCGTTGACGAGAAGATCGCGGCCACCCCGTCTGACGTCCAGCAGAAGGTGGAGGACATCGAGAAGAAGTTGAAGATGATAGCGACGAACAAGCCTGGTGGTGGGCCCGCTGGCAGCAACCCGCACTTGGCGTCGACGCGCGAGCAGGAGGGCGCCTGCCGCTTGATCCTGGTGGGGTTCGGGTCTCCACTGATGTGGCGTACACTCCGTCGGGCTGCTGAACAGGTACGAGATCGGTGTGCGCCACAAAGAGAGTGGCCATCCATAACTATTAAGGCCTTTGACATGTCGAGGAAAGCGATTTACGAATCCCCGACAGCTACTAAGTGTTCGGACTTCTTCAGTGCATTCAAAGCTCGTGGTCCTGTGGCCTTCCCGAGCCCTCTGGCGGATGGGCTGCAGTATCAACTTCGTGTCAAGCGTGACATCAATCAGCAGGGAGGAGGCTCTTCCTCGTCATGGGGAAAGTGCGGAAGGTCATCACTGAGGCCATTGGCACGCGCTACGAAGTGGGCTCGAACGGCTTTGGCGGTGCGGTCTTCGTCTTAACCAAGCCAGAGTGCCCGTTGACGATGCTGCAGCTGAAGCTGAACGGCGATGAGGTGGAGCATGAGATAGCCGAGGCTGCTTTCGTGAGCCTGGGCCTCCAGGCGATCTTGCCTGCGGTCAGGGCGGCGATGGCGGCTCCCTTTTGATTGGGCACGGCGCAGCTCGGACTGCGAAGTGCGCGAGGCACGAGCGGGCGCAGCTGGGCGAGCCTTGATTGGGGGCGGCGACGAGGCTAGCCGCTTGCTGCGTCGTGTCCAGCATGTTAGATTGCCAGAGAATCCTTTGCTTGTTTCAACAGCTTCCGCTGGGTGGTCAACCGACTCACCACCTTCCTCTCGGGGGGAAGTTGAAGCTCTTAGGCTATTTCCAATGGCAGACCCAAGTGGGGCTCCTGAGGTTTTCCCCGAGGCTCGAGGCGTCGCTTACAGCCCCCCCTTCTCTGCGACGGTCTGTGCGTGGAACGCCGACGGTCTCTCTGGGAGGACTCGTGGGGGTAATTCAACGTGTGCAAGGAAGTTTGCATATGCTTTGGGACTGTGTGCGAAGTATGATGTGGTTTGTTTCCAGGAATGCCATGGCCATGAGGGGGACGTGGTTGTGTTACTTCAGCGGTTGCGACGCGTTGAGATCGGCGCGAGCTTTCTCCACTCGACGGCCGCGGGTGGAGTTGTTGCAGTGATTAGCGACCGGTTGCGGCAGCAGTTTGCAGATATCAACCACGTGGTCGCGATGGACGGGAGGGTGTTGATCACGGAATTGAGGGGGGGGGAAGGTTGCATGACGATTGCCAATTGTCACATGCCTTATACTAACCAAGGGCTGCCGATATACGAGCGTGCCCTTCGCAGTCTCACTGCTCGGCTGCCTAGAGGCGTGCAGTCTCTCAAAATTGTGCTGGGAGATTGGAAACTTTACGTTGTGGGGCGAGGGGGGGATGACAGGGGACGGTCAGCATTGGAGCGAGGGAGATAGGCTGCACATTCAGCCTTTGCGAGGGAGATGATCTGCTCAATCGTGTTTGTGAGCTTTGGCCTGAGTGCATTCAGTGCGAACCGACGCGGCTCGGTTGGAATGCTGAGGCCACTGCGCGCCATACATCCAGGCTCGATCGGGTTTATAGTGACACCCCCAGTGCCATTCTCGCTGACCTTACGGTGACGACGACGGTGCATGGGTCCCTGGACCGCTGCCCATCCGACCATCGACCCATCGTTTTCTCGATCGCGAAGTTCGATCCCCGTCGGTCACGTTGTGTCCCCGTATGGCTGTGCCGCACACGAGTACAAGGAGGTTGCCAGTGCTATTTTCGGCGCTTCCAGCTGATGTGCCAGCGTCGGCACGTGTGAAGTTGGCCAGGAAACGTACCCAGGCCAGTCTAGTTGAGGTTCGCCGAAAGATTTGCTGCCGCCCGGCCGCTGGGCTCGTGGAACAGCATTGCTGGACGATGAATGCTGTGCGGGGGGTTAGATTACGGCAGTTCCACCTTTGTGCGCGAGCGTTTGTGGCGTGCCCGCGTCTGGAGGCTTTCTTCGATGTTGAACGGCTCTTTTGCGCGGGCTTGAATGCTTTATGCGCGCGCGCTGCACACCTTCAGCTGGGACATATTGAGCAGCAGGAACGGGAGATGGAAAATGCTAGCGGCGGGGTCTGGCGCAGAGGAAGGGGGGCGGGAACTGGCTAGCCATTGGGGGGAGGTCTTTCGTGAGAGAGAGGTTGGCCGCACGCTCTGGCCTAAGCTCTTGCAGTTTTGCCGCAGCGCTGACGAGCTACCCATGGCCCAACGGCCTCAGTGGATGCTCGACTACGACAGTTTTGCCGATCGGGTGAAGTGGAGGCGTAGCACTGCTCCAGGTAAGGGCGGTCTACCTTATGCTGCCTGGCAGCTGGGGGGGTGGCATTGGACTACTCTATGATCTCCACGTTGAGCTTTACGCCAGCCATGGCACCACACTACCCAACACTATGAGGGACATGCTAGTCTTTTTCTCACCCGAAGGTGCCTGCCCCGATGATACCTCCCATAGTATTACACGGAACCCAGAGGTTACGAGGCCCCTGGCACTTTGCGATTCGGACGCGAAGATTATGTCGCTTGCATTTGGCTCCCCGCTTGCGCGGCTAGCGGAACGCACTGTGCATGGGGGCCAGAGGGGTGGAGTCAAGGGGCGGCATATCTCGTCGAATATCGTGATTGCTGATAGGCGGGGAGTTCAACAATCTCTTGGGGGTGCCCCATATAGCCTGCAGTTGCTGACGGACTTTGCGGCGGCATTTCCGTCGATTCACATAGTGTGGATACTTCAGGTGCCCCATGCCATGGGTGCGCCGACAGCGATATGTGTTTTTTTTTCAGTGCCCTTTACGCCAACAACACGGGGACAATCATGTTGGGTGGGATGGTGTTAGACATCTGGATTGCTATCGGGAGGGGTGTGCGGCAGGGGGGCCCACCGAGCATGTGCCTTTTTGCCGTAGCCACGGATCCGATCTTGAGGTGGCTCCTGCATAAAGGTAGCCAACACATGGACCGCTTGCTTGCGTATTGTGACGACCTTTTTCTTTTCATTGGGAACGCGTTGACGGGCCTGGGACCGATTCTGGAGCTGATCTGTGCTTTGGAGGGCCCTGTTGGGCTGCGACTGAATATGAAAAATGTGTCCTCTTGGTTGTGGGTGATGCGACGGTTGCCAGGATTCGGGAGTTGGTTACCACACTCGGACCTTGGTTTATTCAGCTTGTGGTTGCTCGTTTTACCAAGTAGCTGGGGGTCATGATTGGGCCCGAGGGTGAGGCCCATGCCTGGGGCGAAAGCATTCCGAAGCTTCTGGGCCGTACCCTGGATGTGCGCCGAGCCGGCCTTGGGCCCCCCTTAGCGATAAGGACGTTTCACGTGCTGTGCCTGTCGCTGTTACGGTATGTACTCCAGTTCTACCCGCCATCCTGGGAATTGGAGAACGACTAGAAGCGGTGTGCGCAGATGCTTACTAACGGCCCGTGGAAAGCCATGCCCCATGAGTTGCTCGAAGGTCTTGCCTTATGTGGAGGGAAGAATGGTATCAAGCATCTGCCACATGTCAGTCTTGCCGCCCGTGCACGGCGTGCCACGTTCTGCCCTGACTTCCGCTCTGAGCTTGGGATCGTCAGACAATTTCTATGAGATCTGATGAGTGCTGTATTGCTAGATGCTTTGATGGTTTCTGGTGGAGGAGGAGTACTACTTATCATATGTCTGTGGCTCACGGTCTGCTCCTACCCTTCCTTCGCGACCTCCCACCGACGGTCCCTCGGAAAGCGGTCCAGCGTAAGTTGTTCATGTATATTACCCGCGTGTGTCGTCGTCCTGGGCGGTCTGTTCTCCAGATCCTGAAGGCTCGTGTGGATAAGTGGCTCCCCGAGGTTCCCGATGAGGCCTTGCCGAGGATGTTGCTCCGTCTGCAGCGGGTAAGCAAGGCTGTGAGCCCATACTTTGCAGTCAATCAGGTCCGTCTTGCGTGCCGAGGCCTGCGTGCGTCCTCGCGCTTCAGGTCTGCGGCGAGGCACTGCTTGTTTGGTTGCAGGGGCTCAAGGGATACGGATTGTCTACGACATTATTCGGTTTGCCCCCGTATGAGGGCGACGATGCTGGAACCATGGGCCCGTGATGAACTCCCATCACATGGACACGACTGGTTCTCTGATCCTTTTTTTTGACGCCTCGCCTCAGTCCTGAAGCAGACATTAGATTCTCGTCGATCTGCGATGCATTCTATTTCTTGCACAATGCCTGGAGGCTTCGTGCAAATGTGCAGCCAAGTTTAATATTTGCTGCCAGGATCCGTGCGCAGTGCCGCAAGCACGGGGAGGTGCAAGCGGCGTGGAACCAGGGTCCTGGCTGAAAAAAAAGGCCGTGCGGTGACGGAGCGTGCGGTGAGATCTTCGGGGATGTCGAGGTCACCGCACGGTGTGTCACCGCACCGTTTCGGGACTCCAGAGGAATATTCAAAATAATCACGCACACACAAAATGTATGGGCACGATGTTTGGATTGTTCTTCTTGGAAACATGTGTTGACTATGTGTTACTTCCTTCACAAAACCCGCCTGTGGGAGGACATGCCCGACCCAAGAGTAGACCGCAGCAGGAGCAAGATGTTGGGCCTCGAGGGCACGCCGACCCCCAGGCGAAGACGGGCGCGACCGGGCCCAGACCCCCTTCGGGCCATAAAGCAAGCGCGACGGGAGGTTGTCGCGATGTTCGGCCTCTGGGGGGGCCATGACCAGGCCCGGGGGCCGCCCAAGAACGGCTCGGGGCGAAAAGCCGGTGCTGGGGAGTGGGTCGAGGCCCCCTCGGGGTGCACGTCCTGAAGAAACCATGACGCCGCGGGTCTGGGGGGGGGGAGCAGGGGGGCCGCTCGCGTCACGATTCGCGCTGGCGCCGTCTGGGAATGCTGCGCGAGTCGTGAGGCGGCCAGGGGGAGATGGGGGGGCGGTCACGGGCGCTCTCGCGAAGGATGACAAAAAAAACGGAAAACAGGATCCAGCATACAGAGGAGGTCAGGTCGAAGAAAAACAAATTGCGCACACATGAATTTTAGGAACTCCGGATTTCTTGGATCCGTGCTGGACCCCTGGTAGCGCCTCTGGCGCCGCCACTGGCGCGCTCCGCGCGCAAGGGAGGAGGGTCCACTTGCGATCCGAGAAATCCGCTCGGAGCTCCGAAAGCTTGTTCTTCTAGTTCCTTCTTCGGCGGGGCCCTCCTCCCTGGCGTGCGGAGCGCGACCGGGGCGGCCCCGGAGGCGTCGCCAGAGGGTCCAGCACAGATCGAAGAAGTCCGCGCGGAGCTCCGAAAGTTTCCGTTTGCGCAGCTGCTCGTTCCTCCAGTTCCTTCTTCCGTGGGATCCCCAGGCCTCGAACACTCACGCAAGCCATGCGTCCAGCATGGCGCGTCGGTTTTCAGCCTGCGGCCGCCTTGAGATCCCGACGCGTTCCCCAGAGGCGGGTCGGTCCGAGACCCGGTCGGGTCAGGAAAAAAAACACGACGGGGCGTTTTTCGCTATTTTCGGCCTTTATAGGTGGCCCTTACCGGCGCTCGGGACCGTCAAAAAACGATTCAGGATGAAGAGCCTGTCATGGGGAAAGGGTCGGGACCTCCAGGGGTCGACGTCATGGACAAATCATGACGTCGGGGGTCTGTGGTGGCTGCTCCTGCGAGCTCTGGGCGGCGACATTGGAGTCGGTTTCTCCTGCATTCGGACCGCAGTCTCGCCCTTCCTGCTCCTCCTCTCCCCCCTTTGCTTTCCTCGCCTCGTGAAGGGGCGAATATTGTCCAAGTCTGGTTCCAAGTGAGTTCCAAATCCGGTCCAGAGCAGGTCCAAGTCGGACAGCGCCGAGGGCGACGTAAGCTCTTGTGGTGCAGACACCAAATGGCAGTCTTCAGCCCTGGATTTATTTGTGATGCGGGGCGGAATGGCGGAGAAACGCTGGGGGAGAAGCCACACCGTCGGCGATCTGGAAGGAATTCTCGGCCCCTGTTTGAAATCTGGGACCCATGGCAAGAAGGCCATCCGAGGGATGAGCCAGGGCTTTCTCCCAGGTGTTGCCGCGCAGGTGCCAGCTGTCCTGGTGCCTGTCTTATCACCGTGCGAAGGACCCGACGCGCCCTTGGACGGGGGCTCCGCTGCTATCGGGAAGACAAACAAGAACCACCGTCGGCGATCTGGGCTTGTGGACCCCTGAGGCTCCTGTGCCGGGCGGCCGTCAACTCGATGACGCTGGCGCCGGAGGGCCCCGTGCCCGGGCGAAGGGAACCGTGCGCATGCCCGGGCCCCGACCAGGGCTCCTCCCAGGCCGAGGGTCGGCGTGCGCGCCTCCCTGGCCAAGCCGGGCGGGCGTGTGCATCGATCGCCCAGGGCCCAGAGATCCGACGTTGCGAGAAGCATGCAGCATCGCCAGGAAGTGCGACCGGAGCCCCAGACCCTTTCTGCGGCCTAGTCTCAAGGGAGGGAGAACAACCCTGTCCCGATAACTATAACTGGCGCTTACTAAAGGACCTGGGCGCTTATCATAAGCAGCCCTGCCCTCTTCGACTCCTTCAGGGTGCGCTTGCAGAACGGCTTCACGTGTTGGGGGGATCATTATGCGGGTAGATGTTCTGCCCTCTAGTTTCGAGTCGGCTCGAACTGCGATGGCCTCGGGGCCCGAAGCAGGGCATGCTCGCTTGGTGGAAAAATCGCTGCGGCGCCAGGCTCTCACGGGCTGGGCCTGGCCAGACTCGGTGCAGGAGGAGGAGAAGGAGGGGGGGAGGAGGGGG